ATGATCAAGAACCGAGAATCTGTGGCCAGGTCCAGAGAGAGAAAGCAGAGGAGTTGCGATGGCGACGAGGAGAAGTTGGATTGGGAGTTTGGTCGCTGCCAAGAAGGCCTAGCCCAGGCCCAGTTCGCCGGCGCCAAGATCCACCGCGTCGTCTCCGACGCCACTGGAGCCGACAGCCCCAACTGACGCCAGAGCGAGATCTAAACAGTGCGAGTCTCAGTGCATCAATCATAAAAAGGTACTATGCTCCTGATCCAGAGCAAGATTTCAGTGAAGGTTATGATGAGAAAGATGTTGTGGTCCAAAATCTCCATCAAGCTTGCTTCTATAAAGTGGCAAATGAAAGTGGAAAGCCATGGTTTTGGTGGGACTATGTCACTGACTTTGTTGCCCACAATGTGCAAATCAATTTGGTGCTCTCGCATGGCATTGGAGGATCAATTAGCTGAAAGCTGCCTTTTGACTTTCCAGAAGATGCTGTAAAGACAAGCGCACCAGAAGATGCCCCATCATTTTGTCGGCACCAAATGTCTCCACTTTCCAGTGTGGGAGAATATTATGGAGCCTTGGGGGTGGATTCGTGGACCATGCAGCAGAAAAGAGGAAACAAAAAACAAAAGAAAAGAGCAAAGCAAAAGTGAAAAGAAAAAAGGAAAAGAGAAAAGAAGAAAAACAAAAGATTTTTCTATTATTATGATTCCTTCTGTCTGCCAGGTGAAGAGACACAGAGAGTGCAACAGAAAAACACTGCAAAAGCAAGAAATAAACACCCCATCAGAATGATGTAATTTATTTTTATTATCTTTCAGAGACATATGTATAAACCCCATCAGTGGGTAATATGTATAAACCCATCATAGGGTAAAAAAAAAAAAAAAAAAAAAAAAAAAAGGAAAAGCCCAAAATAAATGGGCTGGAATGTTGTGTGGAGAGCAAAGACCCATGAGCCCAAAATAGCACCAACCAGGTGATCAAAAGTACGCCAAGTACTCCAAATTATACATGAGCATCACTCATGATAATCATACATAAACATTCATAACCATCATTCATGTCAACATTCATGAGCATCACTCATGTTAACATTCATGAGCATCACTCATGACAACATCCATGAGCATCACTCATGTCAATCAACATAAACATTCATGAGCATCACTCATGTCAATCAGCTTCATTTACAAAAGCTCTAGCTTCAAAAGATTCATGTACAGAGCTCTAGCTTCAAAGCTTCACTTGCAAAGCTTCACCTACAAAGCTTCAGTGCAGGGTATACAAATACCGCACCCGAACAACCGCCACTTCGGCCCATACATGGATTCAATTTGAAGTCTCCAGCCAACAGACTCTATTGACCGAAGACTTGGGGGACTACTTATGTACCCATACTTGGGCCTCTCATAAAAAATACTTGGGAGACTCTAGCCCATCACTTATGTATTGAGGAGTGAGCCCTTATTCTATAAAAGGGAATCCCTCACTTTCATTAGAGAGCACCCATTATTCATGTACTGTACTGAGGAGTGAAACCCTTATTTTATATAAAGGGGACTCCCTCACCTTCATTAGAGAGAAACGCCGCCAGCTGAGCAACCGCCTCGCCGCGAGCATCAACTCTAGCCCATCATTTATGTATTGAGGAACGAGCCCTTATTCTATAAAAGGGGACTCCCTCACCTTCAACACCACACAAGCCGAGCCAACCAAGGCAATATAAGCCACAAGCCGGGCAACCTCGCAACATGTGACAGTTGAGCATCATTTCAGATTGAGCACCGCCTCATATCGAGCATCAGTTCAAGATAACATCTAGTTACTTCGGCCCACACATGGACTGAATTTCAAGTTTCCAGCCAAAAGACTCTCTTGACTGAAGACTTGGGGGACTACTGTTTATACCATATTTAGGGCCTCGTATTTAGATCTCGTACAAATACTCAGGGGACTTAAATGTAATTATGGGATAAAGGAAGGGGCAAATATGTAATAAGTGAGGAGTCCTTATTCTATAAAAGGACCCCTCACCCTCACAATTGGGGGAGGCCTCACTCTCACTCTCAGAGGCCATTTCTGAAGCCTCTCACCCCCTCTCAAAGCTTCCTCACACCCCCTAAGCTCTAAGCTCTCTCTCTCTCCCTCTTCAACAGAGAAATAAATACATAATCAGTGTGGACGTAGCCCAAACCTTGGGGTGAACCACGATAAAATCCTTGTGTTCTTTGTGTTCTTGAGCGTTTGTGCAGATTCACGGTCGGATTTACGTTGTTCCAAGACATCCGGTTTTGTGCATCAACATAGTTCAATTCTCAAATCCATCTTTCATCAATTTTTGTTAAAGTCTACTAATGTTATAATTGGAATTTAGTTAGTTGATAAGAATTAAATCATTTTCTCAGAGACGGTATTAAGTGCTTGTTTTCTATACTATCGAACGATTCGTACGCTTGCGAGCATAAAATTTGAAACTAAGTTGGATTGATTTCGGTTAGTTTAAATTTCGCAACAGATGCGGATTGAGCCAATCGACCATCATGTTGTGCAGCTTCCTTGGCCAGGTTATTAAGTTCTGAATATTCACAAGCAATCAAAAAACTATATGCAAATGTAAGGTAACGTGTAACACACCTTCAGGAGAAGTGCAACACAAACACAAGCAAATGCACGTAGTGAGTGCGGAAATCCTTTCCCTTTCCAGCTACCATGCCTAAGTTCTCTATGTCATTACATGATTATTGTATTCAGTAAAAGATTTTCATCACAAGATCACGTAGATAAACACGTAAACTAAACAGAACTGGAAATCAACCAAAAGAAATACCACTAGAGACGGGGGATAAAGCATGATCAGGTAGGCAAAGGAACAAAATTAGAGGAAAGGATAAGATGAAATAAAGAGATAAGAACAGTGCATCACTACCAACTTGGTTGATGGTGAAAGAATCCCTTGAAGCGTTGAACCCATTGACATCATTACCGATTGGTCTGTGATCAACAATCATCTCATGTCTAAGTAAGATAATGGGACATTGAATTACAGGCAACAAACAGTAATTAAACTCTGAATGGAGATGATGATATTAAACTTTAAACAACACACAACACAATTTCACGCATGCACGTCCTGAAACCAAATGTGTTGTAATGACATTCAAGAAGCATATATGACCGTCATATGACGATTCTAAGTACTTGTAAGTAACTAGTCCTGAATATTATAGATTGATAAAGAAGAGATTAACCTAGCATGCCAACCCCGTAATATTGGACTAATTGAGAACTTTAACAATAAGCTTCCGGTATTGTTTACTTTAACGAAAAACCACATTTTTACACAAAAAGTCAATCATGGTACTATTCACTCTACTCTTTATTTTTTCCTTATCGTTAAAACTCAAAGTTTTTAAGTCTTTTTCATTAGTTTTCGTCTAATTGTACGAATTGATGTGGTTATGGAACATACAGCTGACAACTTTTACACCAATTACTCAAAACTATTTGAATTTAGCCAAAATAACTGAACCGACAATAACTTATTTTAACCGCCTCGCATGTTTCTCGACCATAAGAGCAACTCCACTGTAGAAGCCCTCCCCCCAGGCTATTTACTATTTAATCCACCCAATGAACAGTAATTGCCGTGGCAATTGCCTTTTGCATCTCCACCCCTACACTGAATAACCTTGACAATTGATAATAAAATATTATTATTTTATTTATTTAATAATATTATTTACTTTGTATAAATTAATATTATATTATTAATTATATTAATATTATATATTCCTCCTTCTTCCTTTTCTCTACAGATTTCCTTCTTCTTCTCTGCAGGTTCGGTTATTCTTCTTCTTCAATTATTCATCTTCTTCTTCACTTCCTTCTTTCTTATTCGTTTGTTTATCGGAAAACTTCTTCTTCAATTATGCATCTTCTGCATCTTCTCCGACAACCATCTCCGAGGAAGTCACAACGCCGGCTTCAGGAAAGCACGACGCCGACTTCGGGAAAGCCCACGATGTCGACTTGGCCTTTAAAGACGACGAAGCTTCCAAGGTCGACGGAGGTCGGGTAGCTGCAAGGTTGAGGCCCAGAAATGCAAAGGAGATGATGGCTGACGTTGCCCAGACGTCAGCCTTGCATTAGGATGCCTTCGGGCTCTCGGGCTGGCAATCACTGCCGGGCTTGTCCCTCGGGCTCGCATACGCTGGACCTCATTCCCCGACCTATTTGGTCCTGTTCCGCAGCCTGTCCCTCTAGCAGAAGCTTCTGTTGGAGTTGCTCTAACGTTCCATTGTTTCGACAAAGACCATTAACGATGAATGATTAAATTACCACATGAAGACAAGCCGTGAGATATATTTTCTTCTCTGACGACAAGACGTAGCTAATGAAATTTTTACCATAAATCATGAGTATTACTGCACACTCAAAATATACGTGTGGTGTTTGTGAAAAAAACCGAGCACAGCGGGGGTAAAAACAGATTGAGAAATATTTGCCCGATAATTCATAAATGGAAAACGATCCTTGTTGGATTATTTTTTAGGAATCTCGTGATCGTGACCATTCATCGTATATTGTGCAATTAGTTTTCATTAAGTACTATTTATATTTAATTTTAAATTATAAATTTTAATATAATTTTTAACTGCATTATGTACAATGGACGGTAACAATCATCAGATCCCTAGGATCTCAGGAAAAGGATCCGGTTCATAACTGGCACAACTTTTGAACCAAATCAAGTTTTGGGCAAAGCGGCAAATAACAAAAAAATAAGGCGCAAAAATTTTCGTTCCCAAACCAACATAAAAGTCCCGCTCGATTATGCTGCCACGTCACCAATCCGAGTGAACTCCAACTTAAAACATCAGCCATCCGATCCGTGAATCTGGACGATCTAAGCCACCGATTGTCCCCCGACCCCCGAGTAGCCTTCATCAGGCATCCTATATAAGTACCAGCTTCAGATCCTTTCCCTTCAAACCAATCTCTCTGCTTAAATCTTCTTGTTCAATCGAGCACGACTTCGTCGAACAGTTTCCGATTCAGGTTCGTGTTCGTCTTAATTTCTCAGGCGTTCCGTTTTCTTAGAGCTTTTTTTTTTGTTTCGATTTTTGAAAATTTTGGGATTTTGATATGTTTTATTGGAATCAAATTTTGGGTTTTTGATGTGATTTCTTGTTTTTTTTGTGAATTCTTTTAACAAATTTAAGTCTGATTCTCAAAATTTGGTTGTTTAATTCGATTATTTGTTAGCATTATCTATTTCAATCTGTAAATTTTGCTGCTCGAATCTGTAATTTGTGTTTGGTTGTTAAGAAAATGAGCGAACAGAAACGAAATCTCAAAATCTGGAGCTTTCTTTTGTAATCTTCAACTTACAAAACTTTCTCGTCGCTTCACCCACTCGAATTTTCCAAAACTTCTCTTAAATTCATGATTCTAAACTGTATCGCTAATTAAAATTCTGCAATTAGGGTTTCATTCATCCCAACGAGATTAATTTTCCTATTTTTTCTGCAGAAATCCAAGCTTGAAACAAAATGACTGGGCGTGGAAAGGGAGGAAAAGGTCTGGGAAAGGGAGGAGCAAAACGTCACCGTAAGGTCCTCCGCGACAACATCCAGGGGATCACAAAGCCGGCCATCCGCCGTTTGGCTCGCAGGGGCGGCGTGAAGCGTATCAGCGGTCTGATCTACGAGGAGACACGTGGAGTGCTCAAGATCTTTTTGGAGAACGTCATCAGAGACGCCGTGACCTACACCGAGCACGCTCGCCGCAAGACCGTGACGGCCATGGATGTGGTCTACGCGCTCAAAAGGCAGGGCAGGACCCTGTACGGGTTCGGTGGCTAGGGTTTTTGGGGGTCTTCAAGTCTTGCTGTCAAGAAATGGGTTAATGGGTTTGGTTTAGTGGTTAATTACGAATTAATTAGTTGTTTTTACTTTGTTTAGATGGTTAAGCAATTGTTACTGTTCTTGTTATGTGGCTTTGTAAAGTGATTACGGACTAAGTTTCCTATGTTTGTTTGGAATTGGAATGAAGTTGAATGAAACGGTGGTGTTTTGATCTGAAGTTGTTTTGTGAATTGGTGATGCTTTTGTTTTTATTGAGGGTTGTATTTAATTAGGATTTTAAGTTTTTTTAATGAATTTAAGAGTATTTAATTAAAATTTTAAGTGATGTTTTAAAACTCAAATTGTATTTAATTAAAATTTTAATATAGTTTATTAAGATATTTAGAAATTTGAGTGTAGTTAATTAAGATTTTAAAGAAATTTATAATATTTTAGGTGTATTTAATTAGAAATTAATTGTAAAGAATTTAAGAAAGTTAAGTAATTAGAGGGAATTGAAAATTTTTTGTAATGTATTCTAAGTATTCATAAATTTTATTTTATGAGATTTTAAAAGAATTGAATTAAAATTTTATATGAAATTTTTATAAATCAATTAAATTTTATAAAAATTTATGGATTTATAAATCTATTAAAGTTTTTTAAATTCTCAATTGAATACATCTTCTTAAATTTTGTCAGTATGATTTAATGTTAAATATTACCAAAATATATAATTAAACTCAAATTTAGTTCTGTTGTAAAAATAAAGTTCATCATATTTGTAGTATTAATATGTTGCTGAATATTGACGGGAGTTTTTTAGGTTTTTTTAGAGATATCAAATTTAGAGATTAAATTTACAAATTAAATGATGTGTCACTAATAAGAATAAGTACTTATTGACGTGTAAGTAATAAATATATCATCAACTTTTATGTCTTTTAGTTTTCAAAATTTTGCCTATAAATTTAATCTCTTTAACATTAATTATGCACAAGATATTTTATAAAGAAAATAAATAAAATGGCTTAAAAATTTTGAGTTTTAATGATAAGGACAAAATAAAGGGTAAAATGAATAGTACCAGGATTGACTTTTTAGTGTAAAAATGTGGTTTTTCGTTAAAGTGAACAATACCGGGTGCTTTTCGTTAAAGTTCCCTATTTTATAATGATTGATTATAGCGTATGTGTTTGTGTTTAGACATTTTTAATGTAGAATGGATCGGTTTTTATTGTTATTCTATTGTTGTTATGGGCCAAATTTGGTAGTCAAGAATTGGTTGTTTTGGGCCTTTTGGTCAATTGGTAGTTGGAATGGTGGTGGTGCAGCTTCACCCGTACGGCCTCATTTCAAGTTTTCAGGACATGGGCCTTTTTCTATTTTTCTATTTTTTTTATTTTTTGGGAATATTTTTTTATATTTTTCCCTATAGTTGTATTTTCCTTTTTTGCTATAATCAATTTTGAGAAATGTCAAGTGGACTTTATTAAAATGACTCTCTGCCACTTCATATTTTTTTGTACAATATTTTATAATGTTGACATAAAAATTAACGTTAAACTATAAGGTAGTGGAGAGTCCTCTTAGCATTTCTCATAATTTTTTATGAGGCTTTTTGGTCAAAATGGTTCCTGAAATTTGAAATTAATAAAAATTGTCCATGAAATTGTTCACCATCAATCATTTTGATCATTAGGGAAAACATTATGTTAAATAAGGATCAAAATGACAAAATTACCCTCAATATAATAAATAATAGGCCAAAATGATTTGACACAAATTGAGGGTTTTTTTATTATTTTATCCTTATTTTATGGAGATTTTTCATAGAAGTACCAAAATGATTGATTATGGACAAACTCATGGATTAATTCTATCGATTTAAAATATCAGAGACCAAAGTAAGGAGTTATATAAATTTGAGAGACCATTTTGGCTATAAAGCCTTTTTATAAACATAGTTGCAGCTGGTAATAGTGGCAATTGACTACTGATTGATGAAAAATCTCAATGAACTGTTACCTTAAATGGTTATCAACAGTCACATACAAATGTTCAATGTGTTCTATATGTAAGTTTTTGGGGTTCTTTGAGGGCAGTTGGTCACGATGCTTTCTTGCCGTTCGCCGGTAAAAGCCTTGCCGGATTTCTGCAACCTCGCCAAATTTCTGCAATCTCTCTCTCTTCTAATCTCTCTTTTCTCTCTCGTTTCTCTCTTTTGATCTCATCACTTTCCTCTCTCTCCTCAAGCAGCTCGATCAAGGAATTGGAATGGTTGGTAGGTCTTTTTTCAATTATTAAAGATTTAAAAATAATTTTTAATTTCAAACGAAACAAGTTTTTATTTTATTTTTAATAAATGATATTATCTACATTCAGGGATAGAGGAGTGAGTTAAACCTCATAATGGGCCAACCATAATAATGCAGTTCAAATTCGCATTCTTCAATAATTGAATATAAGACTTCTCACTTACAAGTAAAGATAAATACTACTAGACCATAATCTTAAGTAGCCAAACAAGTTTTTAAATCTTATAAATAATTGTTCTCGAGACATGGTCTTAAGAAACATTTTTAAAAATAATGAAAAAACTTTAGTAGGATACCAAACGGGGGGCCGCAGGTTTATAAAGGTTGGCAATTCTTCAAATGACTTATATTTTTGTGGATTCCTAATCACAAACCTGTGATGCAGGTTTATAAGAGAATCAATTCCCGCAATATTAAGATTTACCAAACAATATTGATAAAAACTCAAAATCAATCATTTGAAGAATTAGTTAAAAAATATAGTTAATTAAGAAATAATTGATTAAGAAAATTGAGATGCTAGTAAAGTGAATCCATAAAGATCTGTGGACTACTCGAAAGAAAATAGAATTAATTAAGAAATAATTAGTTTAAAAAAACTCACTTCCAATCTTCCATGTGAAGGCACCTGTGGCTATGGGGCTTCGAATCTACCACAAATTCACTGTTGCATGTTCTCACTCTCCCACACGCCGCTTTTCACTTGGAAGTGGCAGAGATTGTTGCAACATTTTTTGTCCTCGATGGGAAACGAAGGCCAATCCAAAGCCATTTGAGATTTTGGTTTAATTAAATTAAGGGAAGTTGCACTGAGCATTGGGAATATTTTAGGGACGAAACAGCCGACCAAACTGAGGTTGCCATGTGAATCGTTGTGGTCATCTCTTCACTTGCCTGTTTAGTTCATTGAAATGAATTAACAAACCGCGGCAATTCAACATCTCATTGTCTTGCTCAACTTGAAATAATAAAATAAACATACTGCTTCAGTCAACTGACTCGACCGATGTACATGCAAAGAGAGTAATCTAGAATCGAGATAGTGACGTATGACCAAATAGCGTAAGCAAAAATTGAATGAATTTATATTTATCGTATGCAAAATAATTAATTATTGCTTGATAAAATATGAACTACTCCATCATCTATATATCTATATCTATATTACACACACACACACACACACACACACACACACACACACACACACACACCACTCACTCACTCACTCACACACTTCAGTTTTAGAAATTTTGAGATCTCAGATTTGGTTTCCAATTTAAGGGATTTTGCAGCATCAACCATTTGCAAGAAGCAAGATTTTGTTCCTCCCGCTCTCTCTTGAAAGCATTGTTCAAAGCCCACAAAATTGGATTGGAACCAAGAAACACAATGAAACCAAATGTAGACCTTTTGTCATTTGGATCTCCAGCCCAATCTGCTTCACTATATGATTGTAGATAGATTGTTCCTGATTGAAATTGAATACCATACTCCGAAGTGCCTTTGAGATACCTAATTATTCTTTTTACTGCAGTAACATGTGATTCCATAGGATTGTGCATAAACTGACAAGCTTGATTAACTGAAAATGCTATATTAGGTCGAGTAAACGTGAGATATTGCAGTGCTCCAACAATACTTCGATACTGGTCAGGACTGTGATAAGGTCTCCCATCATCTTTTAGCAATCTGTGATAGGGAAGATAAGGAGTAGCACAAGGTTTGAAATCTTGAAGATCAATTTTCAATTAATCCTTTGTATATTTTGATGAGAGACCAAAACCATCAGAAGTATATTAATCTGTAACCCTAAGAAGTAGTTCAAAACTCTCAAATCCTTCATGTCAAATTCCTTTATGAGATATGCAATAACATCAGAAACCAATTGAGGATCACTGCCTGCGAGAATCACATCATCAACATAGAGCAATAGAACAATTGTGCCATGTGATGTGTGTTTAACAAATAAAGAAGGATCTGCTTAAGACAGTTGAAATCCCAATCCTAGCAGAAAACTTGTGAACCGTTCATTCCAAGCTCGATGAGCTTGTTTCAGACCATATAGGGATTTTTGAAGCTTGCATACATAATTGGAGGGATGAATAGAACTTTGAAAGCCTTGAGGATGTTCCATATACACCTCTTCTTGGAGTAAACCATAATTGGAGGAAATTTCTTCACTTCTGCTTGCCTTCCCACACATAAAACCTTGTGGTTGTAAGTGAAGTCATAATCTAACGGAATGCAATGGTTCGATATCCAGATATAAAGCTGATTGTTGAGCTTGCAGTCAAGAGGATGGCATTGATTATGGTGAAACGTTCAGTCTGGTGGTTAAACCAACAACCATTAGATTGATTCTAGCATTGGCAGCACAATTTAAATGGACTCTTAGACAACTGAGTAAAATGCATTCTTGCATGGTTACTCCAAGAAGAGTGTATATGGAACAACCTCAAGGCTTTCAAAGTTCTAGTCATCCCTCCAATTATGTATGCAAGCTTCAAAAACCCCTATATAGTCTGAAACAAGCTCCTCGAGCTTGGAATGAGTGGTTCACAAGTTTTCTGCTAGGATTGGGATTTCAACTATCTCAAGCGGATCTTTCTTTATTTGTTAAACACACATCACAAGGCACGATTGTTCTATTGCTCTATGTTGATGATGTAATTCTCACAGGCAATGATCCTCAGTTGGTTTCTGATGTTATTGCAGATCTCACAGGAATTTGACTGAAGATTGGGAGTTTTGAACTACTTCTTAGGGCTACAAATTCAATATACTTTTGATGGCTTATTTGTCTCTCAATCAAAATATACAAAGATTAATTGACAAAGTTGATCTTCAAGATTGCAACCTTGTGCTACCCTTGTCTTCCCTATCACAGATGCTAAAAGAGATGGGAGACCTTATCACAGCGCCAGTTCAGTAGTGGAGCCTTTCTAGTTTACTCACGGAATCCAAGTAATCATTGCATCATGCACATCTTGGAAATTTATTGAGTAAAAAGAATAATAGGTATCTCAAACAGACAATATCTACGTTATACCACTTTCAATTTATAGTGATTAGATGCGGATTCTCACCTTATACTTTCTCACATTTCGTGGGCTTCAAGAGCACTCTCAATTGAGTTGATAAGAGCCTTGTCATGCATATGCTTGTCATCACTTTTATACAAGGCCTCCATGATTTTGTCATGTACCTACCTCATCACAAACCAGTGTTCATATAGTAACCCGAAATTCCATTTTCAACAGGCTTTCGATTCTTTTCCATCATCAATCGCTAAATTTCTAACCTATCTAACACATGAAACTCCTCACTCCTACATCATAACACAATCTGATTGAAAAGTCCCAGATAACATGGTATTTTCGTACATGTCGATAATTTCCACTCAAGTGAGAATTTAAAGGATACATTTGTTATAGCTACTTCTGCCTTTCTGACTTCTTCCAGTATATTCTGGCAATGGTGGATCTCCGCCAAATAGAAAACATATCAATCCGTTCAGGAGAAATTCAGAGTCGACATGTGAAATTTTGCTCCGAAAAAAGGGCAAAGAATTACTCTTGTTCCATTAATGTCATGGGCAGGCTAAAGAGATAAGGTAATATGGTTACTCCACTCTAACTAATACCGATACTTTTTGTGATAAAACCCTACGCTTGACGGATTGGGCCGGTGGTAATTATCAAGTTGAAGACAATATTGGTGTTGTTCAAGTGAGGCCCCGGCCCGTCGACTTGAAAATTTCAACATGATATCAGAGCCAGGTTATGGGTCCGTGCAAGCCAAAGTGCTTGTCACGGAAAGTGTGGAATTGGAAACAAGCTTAAACCTAACTAAATTAACTTTCCATCCATTTTTATGCACATCTTCTTATTTGAAAAAATTGAATTGGAACTAGTTTTGCCTTACGTATCGAACTAGACTAATGGTTCTTACCAAATATAACTATAAGGCTTTCCACACTAGACCGAAAATTTGAGTTGAAAATATAGAGCGCGATTGGAAATGCATTAGCTTACTTATGACTTGTTATAGGGAGTATGATCCTTTAATTAATTGGTTCGTCGATCTAATTATAGACAATATATAATTCCCTATAACTGATGCCTTGAAATTAATACATGCCAGGGAAGGTGAAAGAAAGTTGTCACCATTGGAGTCACTGCGAAAGTTGCCAACTATAATTTTGGGGTTCTTCCTTGGAAAGTGGAAGAAGATGTTTTTTGCAGGAGTATGATATCTATACACCTCTTTTTACTTCTCACACATCCTTCTAATTTTCGGCCTTCGGATCGGATGAATTAAAGAGGATCAATGGACGAATTTCAATGATGATAGATATTAAATATCCCATATCAGGGGTAAATTGGAAAGGGATCAACGATTTAAAAATGATACTATGACATCGACATACATAACTAACAACGATGTGTAGATAGGACATTTTATTTCTAATTAAACCTAGAGATTAGATCGTAGGTGGATTAGAGATGTACGGTACCAACATCTCAAGCATTTGTCTATTTATTAATTGACATTTTAGCTATCCTTCCCTTCCAAGTGGGCCCTTGGCACGTATCTCTACTCGAACTGTATATACTATCGAATTAATTTATTAATTAACTCTTGTTTATTTTGTTTTAGTTGGAGACTTCATTTTCACCCAAAATGGGCGATATAACTTTCTAAGTCTTCCTGATTATTATTACCATATCTAGGGCTACTTGATAGATCTCATCTAGCATGGTAAAGGACATTTCTTTATGTCTCCTTTAGCAATATTTATTTACTTTATTTAAGCTCATGCTAAGCCAGGTACTTTTGCTCTATGATCCAAAAACAATTTAGATCAAATATAACATTTATGTTGTATTTTAAATTTTTAGAAATTTGAAAACTTATATGCTGTGACTATATTGTGAAAAGAAATCTTAATTAATTAAACTTGTTGGTCCTCTAGATACTTGAGTTCTATGGTACTATTTTTTCTATTCAACGAATGACAATTTGCTGGCAATCTACATGTCGAAAGGAAAATAGATGTGACACTAATAACTTTGGTTGTCATGATCATATTACAGTGAGAAATATCACATTTGTAATGAAGTATGCCTAATAAATTCACCAAATTCAACGATCTTTGACTTTGGTATGTATACACCTTCAATCTAGTATACAAATGTGGACAAATTACTTTCAGAAGTTCTCGAACTGTTTTTGGTGGGGCCTACGAAATTTGAGATTTGTAAATTTGAAATCTTACTTTCAGAAGTTCTCGAACTGTTTTTGGTGGGGCCTACGAAATTTGAGATTTGTAAATTTGAAATCTTTTTTTATCTTTAAAAAATATATAAAGAGCTATGATTTGTTAAAAAAAAAAGAATATTTTTTTACAGAAATGGCACTTGACTATTTACATTTTTTAGCATTCACTACTTAAAAAAAATTTACAGTCAACCACTAAAACCTTAAGGGTGCGTTTATTGCACCGGACTGTCTCGTACTGGACTAGCTTCAAGGATTAAGCTGGATTAACTTAGACTAGACTAAGCTGGACTGACTTAGTGAAGTGTTTGATGCAGTGTCGGATTAAGAAGCAGAATTATAATATTATATTATTTAATCTATATTTATTAATATTTTATTTTTAATTTAATATATCAATTAATATTTTTTTCATTACTATATCTTCTTCCCTATTTTCTAGAACCATCTCTGTTCATCATTTTTTCTCTCCGCCTCTCCCTCCCCTTTTCTCCCATTTTTGTTCCTCCTTTTTTTATTGCAAATCCTCTACCTCTTCACTTCATCTTCTTCGCCCCCTCTGCACTTCACCTCTTCCTCCTGCCTCTTCACTTCCTCTCACAAAATCACTTGCAAATCTTAGAATCAAAACATAGAGCAAGAAAGAGATTGAAGGAGGTGGGCTACATGTGTGATTGGCTCAAAGGTGGAGGATAAGGGTTGGATCTGGTTTGGTTTTTCTGGGTGCATGTGTGATTGAAACAACCATGATCATCCCACTGCATTGTTTTTTTGGATTTCCTGGGTTTCTGAGTTTTCTAAGTTTGAATTTTGGGATTTTCTGGGTTATCTGGGTTCGAATTTTTCTAGTCCAGTCCCCTCTAATCCGGTCAAACAAACGCCCCCCCCCCCCCAAACGTTTTTTGGAAATATGTCACCTACCCCAATTTTTTAGGTCGCATGACTTGCACGAATTGATGAAATGGATCTCAAAAAGTTTGGTTTGTGTATCCTTGTCGCGCCATCAAATTGTATCAAATATATTGTTTCATTTCATTTTTGCCGTTCAGTAGGTTCAAACCTTGAGCCCAGCATCGACGGATGGGAAAACCTTTTTGCAGCTTTTATTTCTATAACTGGCTTGCTACTGTTTCTGTATCTCATCGGAAATTTGCAGGATGGTAACGCAAACCTTTTCAGAAAATCCCATTCTTTAAGCTTATAAGGAATTTTGTTATGTCCTTTGTGTCTAATTTGAGTAGTATATATGTATGCATATAGTTGGTTGGTTTCTCTCCCTGGGAAGGATAAATTATTAGTTGCTAATTAATTAATAACTCATTAAACTTTTTTTTATATCCTAGCCAAATACGTTCAGTCGAAAACTTAGATCAGGTAACAAGACCAGAGTTTTATGAGAAAAATGTTGTGTGGCCACTCGATTAAAAAAATAAAATTAGTTTCCTTACTACGTTCGTCATAGAATTGATACTGTGACGAGTGATTGTAACTTTGTAAGATATTTTAACGAACTCATGAAGTAACTTAGGTGTTGTGGATAGACACATATGCAGTTGGATCTTGGACGAAGAGAGAAACGTAGAAAGCAGTTGAAGAACAAAAAAGAAGATGGAGGAGAAAACTCGAGAGGTAGGATTGTGGTTGGCTAAAAAAGGTATCCCTGAAAGAGAAAATAGGGATAGAAAGTTGCATGTCATTAAAAAGGTGCAACAAGAACTTGAAGACGATGAAGCAGGTAACTTGGATGGTCTCTTCCATTCTCTTTCCTTGGATCAGCAAACTTTTATCCAAAGTTGTATACCGTTGAATACGATGAAGAAGGTAATTAAGTTCTTTCAAATCCACTTACGTAACTTTTATAACTTCCGCACACACTTTTTTTTATATATATTTTGATACGCTCCTATTATTTCTCTATCTTGGTTCTCCGTTGATTTATTATAGAATTATGACTCTTTGTATTGATGTGTGGAAATATTACAATATATATAAATTTGTATTAATCCCTCTTACACTAATTACAATTAGAAATTAATCAAGGAGAGGATTCCGAATTAATTAATTCTAGTCTCACACACTTGTTCAATTCAAATAAATAAATAAATAAGCGTGTACGAAATTATTTTTCTAGACAGACACACATACTTGGTCAAATAACGCTTTACCGTAGTGGTAAAAAGAAATTATGCCAATGTACCATGGTGCCCTTGAGTTCTCCTTCCCATAACAACTAACTATTTAATCCATTAACGCTATCGTTTGTTTAAAAAAAATGACAGACGTACGGGTCTTGAAAACTGCAAGTTACAAAAAACTTCCAAAACTATTTCAGACTTTGCATTTGTATGGGGCGACTCACGTACCTGTAAAATTTGATCACATCATAATCATTAAATATGGTCCAAATTCACCCTTTCTTTAAATTAAATGTATCTCTGAATTATTTTGCAGGTTCGAATGCTTCAAAACATGGATGAATTCGAGTTGAAAGCAATCTGTGAGCAATTTAAGCCCAGGAAGTATACTAACGGCAATATTATTATAGAAGCGGGTAAACCATTTGAAATGATGGTGTTGATCGTGGATGGACTTGTAAAGATTGAAGATTGTACTTGTGATCTACAACTAAGGGGAGGAGATTTATATGGACAAATACTGATACCTTGGCTGTCAAGGAAATACTCTCGTGGCAACCTGCTCTTGGCAACCAAATCCCTAGTTGCAGTTGGTGATGTTGAAGCCCTAGTTCTCATGGCTACCGACTTGGACAGTGTCTTACATAAATTCACGTCGCATTTCAGGATATACTACTACGAAGTCGAAGACCAATTGGAAAGCCATCAAACACATGTTAAGGCACTCCGGCTCAGTACTGATGAAAAAGGCCGCAGACAAGCACAGTGAGAATGGCAGGTGTAGTAACGAGGTGAATAATCTTTCTCGAATTAAAACATGGAAAATGGGGTGAATACATGCAACAAACCTCGACTTTAGTAATCACATCTCCTAAAAAGTGAAATCAGAGTTGTGTAAGTGACGACTTGTGAGTGTGAGGATAGAGGAATGCCAAGTACTTGTGTACAATGAAGTACGTGTAAGATACATTTTCATTTTCTTCCTGTTTGTTTGCCTTGTGTGCTGACACTGTATTTTCACTTTTCTGAATTTGAAAGAGAACTATGCCGTTGGGCTGTTTTTTCCCTGCCAACTTGGAGTAAACAATTAGTTGTTCCAAATCAGGGACATTATCATTGTTTAACCAGTTAGCTAGTAAGAACCATGTAAAGGCAAGTCCCTGTAAGTCAGAGAGAAATTTCATTGTATTGAAAACACGACTCAGTATAACATATGTAATAATACAATTGGTTGCAAACTTGAGAAAATAAAATTTCAACGAGTTTTATTACTACACTTGGTAACGTACGATTCATAATCCTAGCACAATAAAAAATCTCTCGTAAGTTTGAACAGTTTTGCAATCATGTTCACGATTTCAAGGAGCAAGACTTATTTGTTACTTGCACTGATATTTGTTTAAAAAAAATTGTTTATGCTCCGTCATGTTTTTTTGATATTCATATTTGAATTTTGAATAAATATTTATTATCTTATTATGTTTAATAAAGCATCTAACTTAAAAAAAGAGCAAGATGACAAAACCACAACAAATTATGAGATGTGGAAGTTTTTTTTTTTCCTTGTATGATTTATATTACGTGGAGGGCAAGTAAACCACAAATAAAAGCACAAGGACAATAGAAAATAGAATCAAGCTGAGATAGTTACGCCCCTTCTTTCATCTCTCTAATCATCCATCTCTCCCTCCTCTCTAAATATTATATACTACAACACGTTATTAACACGAAGTTTGTCTCTAAGCTTGAGGAGAGAATTCTTTACCGGTGATGAAGCTTTACTAGCTAAGTAATTCTAATTATATCTTTGTGATTTTGAATTATATATTTCGCTATGATTACAATTTATATTTATGATTCGATTGTATGGCTTTGTTGATATTATACGTGTAATAAACAAAAGAGTAATGTTATCCTTGCTTATTTTTAAGTATCATACATTGTTCTTAATTTTAACCATCAAATCAAATAAATTAAAAGAAAATCAAAGCACGTGAAAAGTAAGACATTGCCCAGCGCTTAAGAATATTTTTTGTGAGTTGGTTTTTTCGAATATTTTTTATACTTTTCCCTATAATTGTACTTTTCTTTTTGATATAATCAATATTTTATGCGCATGGTTGCAGCTGGCAACAGTGGCAAGTGACCGATGATTGTGTTGGCCACTTGCAGCTGCGATGCATTTAAAATTCGAATGCGATTTCTTCGATGAATAATCGAAGTAATGGGTCCCAGTTTTCAAATACAATTGCTGGTATTTAATTTTCTGTTGATTTAATGCTACATTTATCATTTATATGTACTATCATTTGAGTCATTTCTCTAATAAAGATGAGCTTGTTAACGCATGCGGATTCTATCCAAGTTAGAAAGATAGTACAAATGATGGTATAAGTAGATGGTAAAAATAGTATTTTTGAGATTTATATATCTCTATTGTTGGATATCGATAGTTTTTTTTTCCTGAACATACAGAATTATCTATACTAAGAAAATGAGAGAGTGGCCAATGAGTCAGTCATAATAATAATGTGATTCAAATTCGTCTTTTAGTGAAAATCATAGTACTAAATGACAGATATAGATAGTTTGGAGTGCACACTATTTTTTAGTTGTTAATTTAATCTGTGTTTTAGAGAGTGTTTATCCTTAATTGCTTTTACTAGTTGATCTCAATTAATTTAATCTTTGTTTTAAAAAGTGTTAATACCAAGAAGTTAATTTAATGTTTGCTTTAGAGAGCGTTTCTCCTTTAAAGAGGACTTCTTGGATTAAATTCGAACAATATTAAAATAAAAATGACTCCAAATAAAAGAATAAGGTCAACTTGCCCAATCTGATAGCCTCGTACCTCCAGATATTTTTAGTGTGACAAACACAAGATCACAAATAGCATTTCAAAACGAACTTTAATTTGTGCAACTAAAGATTCAATCACTTCATAATCCTCCATGAGAGGCTTTGTACATAAAATGCCAATAAAACCGGTAAAGGTACACTCTTTGAATACAACATTGTCAACTCTGAAAAATATTGCAAAATAAACAAATAGTGACTGTTACAATAGAAACTCTATGCACATTAAGTTTTTTTTCCCAAACATATTAACAACATTCATCACAAGTTTTGTGTGGCATTTTATCATCTCTAATATCATGTAGTAAATAAGAGCTTTTACAAAAATTAGAAGGTAATAAACATTAGAGAATGTGTCACTTAGTACAATGATATAGTGAAATTCATTTTTATTTGTAAGTGAAATATCTTAAGTTCGATTCTCATAAAAAATGAATTTGAACTACATTATTACTAACTCATTATGAGATTAAACCGATTATTTTCTCTTAATATAGATAACGTCATTTGTTAAAAAAAAAAATCATTAAACAATGTGAAACCAAAAAAACAAGGTCATGCTTTGGGACTTGGATTCTCTGCCCTCCCATTTCGGTGCCCTCCCCATGCCCTCCTGTTTTGTGTGGTCACGGTTAATCCATGATAATATTTTATATTGTTTTTTATAAAAATAATAAGACAAAAAAAATAGTAATATAAAATATTGACGTGGCTTAACCGTGACCACACAAACAGGAGGGCACAGAGAGGACACCGAATTGGGAGGGCAGAGAATCCAAGTCCCATGCTTTGTTGCTTTCTCTGGCGTGTAAAAAGAGTTAAAGCAAGAAAAAAAAACAGTAAAAGCCAAAATACTCAAGGAAAAAAAATTGGAAATTCATAACGAACCTTCTGGGAAAGGCCAACCTAAAGTGACAACATGGGCGACAATTTGCGGAACACGTCAGTGTAAGGTTCCATCCACACAATGTGCGTTGCCTGCGAAAGATATTCTAAACAACTTCAATTTATAAAAGGGAATCGAATTCTGAATTCGTCACACTCTCTTAATCAGCTAACCTAACTATGATATTGCCATGCCGGACATGCATCTATGTGCAACTCGAATTTACGAGCGTCGAATCAAATTCGTTGCAATTTAGCATCGCATTGTCTTACCCAAATGTTGCACAATACATGTAAAGAAAAACACGGATGAGAGGGTGGGATTAGACCAAATAGTTCGAGATGAACTCGGTACAATAAAACGAGCAGAAGTATCTTACCTAAGTAACTAATTCCGAACGTACATACAAGAGAGTAGTAGAGATAGTGACGTATGACCAAATAGCGTGTGCAAAAATTGAATGAATTTATAAATGGTAGGACCGCAATTATAGAAAAGTAGAATCACAAACCCTAGGCCGACAAACAATTTGGACAACATGGTGGGACCCACCCTTTGGATTAGATTAGATTAGATTCTCCTCTCTCTCTTTCTCTCCCTCCTTCCTTTCCCTCTCCCCCAGTCTTCCTCCTTTACTTTTCTCTCTCAATCTTCAACCGCGTCCTCCTCAATTTCCTGCAACTTTCATACCTTTTACCAAGCAAAAGCTCCTCCGGACTCTCTCCCAGCAGGTAATCCCTCCTCCTCCTCCATCCTACTTCTTCGATTCCGCTTCGGAATTCGTTTCCCTCTTTCGTCAACGCGTTTGCGATTTGATTTCAGGTATTTTCCTGGAAGTTTCTGGACTGATTTCTATTTCGAAGATTTTGATTTCGTTTCCGTCGACTTTAGTCGATCGGATTGGTTGATTCGTCGCCACCGGTTTCGTCGGCGGCTTTTGGCTTTTGTGAAAATGTTTTTTTGACTTTTTTTCGATCAAAGTGGAAGTGCTTATTTATGAAGCACAACTCTTTCTTTTTAAATGGATCGTCCGAACTTGTTTCGTTTGAATTGTAACGCTTCGAATTGAGATGCTACTGGGGAAATTCGTTTTTTGGGTTTCATTTATTACGGATTAAACAGCACGGATAAAGGGTCTCTGTTTCTGCTTATGCTTTTGGGAAAAGTGCTTTTGTTTTATGGGATCTATTAGGGATTTAATTTTGCGTTTAGATTGTTGCTTGGTTACTTAATTATTCTAGAAATGATCTTAGAGTTGGCAAATTTGGTTGAATATAGTTTTCATATTATATATATATATATATATATTTGTTAGTATTATTTTGTATGTTCACATTGCATAATTGCTTCTGCTATTTCAATTAGGAAAAGTCATGGCAAAATAAATTATAACAAAATTAAAATTCACTCACCGATCAGCCATGATGTGTTCTTTACTTGTCTTCAGATATGCATATACCATACTTTCCCAATTAGTCCATGTCGTTGGCTGAGAGTTTGGTGTTTTATTTGGGAATTAATTCACATTTGTAATCGAGTTCTCTTGCTAATGTGTAGCTTTATTTTTTGTTTTGGTTGTGTGCAGGAGATTGAATTTGGTAGAGTTTGATAGCTAGAAGATAAGAAAGTGCACCATCTTATCAGCTAACTGAATTTGGTTTTTAGAAAATAGATTGTAGTTGCATATTTGTCATAGTGGTGATCTTAAAAGTGACTTGAGAACGATTACTGCGTCCTGCTATTTGCTAGACTTTGATTTATAGACAGAGAGAGAAGGGTCAATTATAAGATTGCAAAATCTTGGAATCATGCCGGTATCGGGAAATGAAGAGGTGTTTATTTCCTTTCTAAATGACTGCTAACTGAGATTAGAGCCTCGTTTAAATTTATTGTTTTCCTGAATATTGATCAATTAAATCTTTTGTTGGCAGACTGGGGTTAAATCCGTCACCCAGAAATCTAGTGATTATAGTGCAGGTGTTCCTATCAAGAAAAGGAGGTTTTTCATGAGTCCTCCTTCACCTCCTCCTGAAGAACCATCTTTGTTTCCAGAAAAAATTGACTCAATACTGAAGGAACAATCTAGCCCAGCTCGGGGGTCGACTCCTTCATTTGTTAGTATCACCAGTTCTGGACTTTCTGATGCCAAAAAGATTCCTGAATCCGATTATAGAAGAGGAAACTCTGACATTGCAAATGTTAGTGTGGCCCAAGGAAATGATAATATGTTTAAAGTCAAACTCGAAGAACCTATCCCCGGAATTCACTCAAGTGCTTTGGATGACATCCGGAGGAAAGGGAAGCTTATCTTGTCTGATAATCCTGCACCTGAGGTGACTTTAAGGAAAAGTGAATTGACTTTAGCACCAAATGAAGCTCTTGCAGCTACTGTAGGGAAGGAGATTGTGCATAGCCAAAGTAAAGTAGAAGTGAAGTGTAAAGAAGAAATGCCTGCTGTTGCTGAGGGA